TTGAGAAAAATTTTCAGAATCCCTATAATGTTTTGTTAACATTGTTAACATTATTTCATTCATCCAGAGTTGTATAAAAATAATGTAATGAATGCCTGTGGACCACCCCACCCACACAACTATTTTTTTTCTCTTTATTCATCCTCAAAACAGGCACCATTTGGCTGGCCGCAGTGGCTCACTTCTGTAATCCCAGCACTTTGGGAGACCGAGGCGGGGGGATCACCTGAGATCAGGAGCTCGAGATCAGCCTGGCCAACATGGGGAAACCCTGTCTTAATCTTCACAAAAAAATACAAAACTTAGCTGAGCGTGGTGGCAGGCACCTGTAATCCCAACTACGTGAGTCGCCTGAGCTACAGGAGGTGGAGGTTGCGGTGAGCCGAGATCTCAACACTGCACTCCAGCCTGGGTGACAAGAGTGAAACTGTTTCAAAAAAAAAAAAAAAAGAGGCACCATCTTTCAGAATCAGCTTGAGCAACTTGTAGACAAATAGGTGGCTAGCTCTTGGCCCTGTTTTCTGTCCGTCGGGACAATGGCTGAATCCTCTCTTCAAGTCCACAGTTGGAAGGGCTACTCTTTGGGCTATGATAGTAGCTCTGGTAGTTCAATGTTAGTTCTGGTGACTCTGCACAACCTCCTGAGGAACCGGAGCTTTCCAGTGCCTGTGCTTCTCCCTCTGTTGCTGTTTCTGCATAACTGTTCTCCACACACTTCTCTTGCTGTGACTTCTGCTCATTTCTGGTTTCAGTTGCCTCTGGCTTTTGCTCACTCCCTTCTTGCACACAACTCTCAGTTTGAAACACCCCACTCTCAGATGACTCTCAGCTTGTCTCACAGACACATTTCCCAATCACGAAGATTGGATTCGTGATTGGTGGATTGGTCATTATCCAGTCAGCGTATCTCTGTTGGATGGAGTTCTCACCTCAAGAGACCTCACAGGTCTCTGGCTACATGTCTGCCTTTGGGTCAGCTACTTGTTCCTCAATCAACCAGCCTTGACCTGGATAACGGGGTCTGTATCAGGAACCTGTTACTGGGCAACAAACCAGCGCCCCCTGATGAAGTCTTAGCGTCATATAAATATACGCATTTATTTCACTGATACACACATATGAGTTGGCTGGCGGTCAGGTGATCTAGGGTGAGATCCAATGTGACCCTTTTCCTTGTATCTTTTTATTTTTCCTAGATGGAGTCTTCCTCTGTCACCCAGGCTGGAGTGCAGTGGCACAATCTTGGCTCACTGCAACCTCCACCTCATGGGTTCAAACAATTCTCCTGCCTCAGCCTCCCGAGTAGCTGGGATTACAGGTGCGTGCCACCACACCCAGCTAATTTTTTTGTATTTTTAGTACAGATGGGGTTTCTCCGTGTTGGCCAGGCTGGTTTCGAACTCTTGATCTCGTGATCCACCGCCTCAGCTTCCCAAAGTGCTGGGATTACAGGCGTGAGCCTCCGCGCCCGGCCTCCTTGTATCTTACACCTTCATTTTACCAGTGGGATCACTCAGGTATGTCCTTTCCATGGCAATGATAGTGACACAGGATAGCAAGTGTCACCACACGCTGCCTCTGAAGGCTCAGAACTGGGAGACTGTCACTGCTGCCCACATTCCATTTTGCCCTTATGATAGGAGGCACATGCTACCTCTAGTGGGAGGAACCACAAAATGGCATAGCAAAGGGCATGGACACAGGGAGAATTGAAGAACTGGCGCAAACATTCCATTTGAATCACAGGATCACATGGTCCTATGGCTGTAAGCAAGGTAAGCCATCTATACCTTGTCCCTCAAAGGAGCCTGCAGGGATGGCAGGCAGTTTCAGAAAGAGGCTGACTAACAAGTTAAAGGATACTTTCGCAAGACTTAAAAGTAACCACCACGAGGGTTTAAAATAAGCCTTTTAAAACTAAGGAGGACTGGGTGCACTAACTCACACCTGTAATCCCAGCACTTTAAGAGGCTGAGGTAGGTGGATCAGAGGACAGGAGTTCGAGACCAGTCCCACCAACATGGTGAAACCCTGTCTCCACTAAAAACACAAAAATTAGCCAGGTATGGCGGCAGGCGCCTGTGATCCCAGCTACGTGGCAGGCTGAGACAGAAGAATCGCTTGAACCCAGGAGGCAGAGGTTGCAGTGAGCCGAGATTGAGCCACTGCACTCCAGCCTGGGCAACAGAGTGAGACTCTGTCTAAAACAACAACAACAACAACTAAGGAGGGCTGGGTACAGTAGCTCACGCCTGTAATCCCAACACTTTGGGAGACCAAGGTAGGAGGAGAGCTTGAGCCCAGGAGTTCAAGACCAGTCTGGGCAACATAGGAAGACTTCATCTGTAAAAAGAAATTTTTTAAATTAGTTGAGTGTGGTGGTGTGGGCCTGTAATCCTGGCTACTAAGGAGGCTGAAGTGAGAAGACTGCTTGAGCCCAGGAGGTCACAGCTGCAGTGCCATGATTATCTTACCATGGCACTCTAGTCTGAGTGACAGAGACCCTATCTCAAAGAAAAAAAAAAAAAAAAAAGAGAGAATGTAAAATCTTTAAAGAAAAGGGACAGAGGCTGCGCACAGTGGCTCATGCCTGTAATGCCAGCACTTTGGGAGGCCGAGGCGGGGGATCATCTGAGGTTGGGAGTTCGAGACAAGCCTGGCCAACATGGAGAAACCCTGTCTCTACTAAAAATACAAAATTAGCCGGTGCGTGGTGTCGCATGCCTGGAATCCCAGCTATTCGGGAGGCTGAGGCAGGACAATCTCTTGAATCCGGGAGGCAGAGGTTGCAGTGAGCCATGATCGCGCCGTTGTACTCCAGCCTGGGCAACAAGAGCAAAACTCCACTTCAAAAAACAAAAAAGAAAAGGGACAGAAAACATCAGAAGCAATATGGAAATATTTTTTAAGGCATTAAACATGCCAACAGAAGCAAAATCAAATGTATCAGTTATCATAATTGCCTATGAGTCAGAGACAAATAGTTGGGTGAGGTTCAAAGTATTTTCTTTTTCAGGCGTCCTCTGATTCAAGAGGTAAATTCTCTATGCATTTTTCTCAATCCAGTTCCTTTGTCTTATAAATAGCAGAGATGCTGGCTTTCCATTCTGAGTGGTAAGTTTTCTCCATTTTCCACGTTTCTGTAGTGGTCTGAGTGGGCCGCTGGGAAGGGCTGCATCAGGGGCTACTGGCTGGTGACACTTTCCAGGTGACAGCCTCATCGCATGCCCTCTGAAGCCCTGCAGCCCTTCCTGCCACCCTCATCTCTTCACGGCACCCCCACATCCTACTCAAACTAGGTTCATTCTGTGGGGGCCTTCACTCTCCTGTTTGCTTCTGAGACCCAGGAGGTGGAAGTTGCAGTGAGCTGAGATCGTGCCACTGCACTCTAGCCTAGGCAACAGAGCAAGGCTCCTCTGGAAAAAAAAAAAAAAAAAAACCAGGGCGCGGGGGCCTAGGCCGTAATCCCAGCACTTTGGGAGGCCGAGACAGGAGGATCACGAGGTCAAGAGATCGAGACCATCCTGGATAATACGGTGAAACCCTGTCTCTACTAAAAAATACAAAAAAAACCTAGCCGGGCAAGGTGGCGGGTGCCTCTAGTCCCAGCTACTTGGGAGGCTGAGGCTGGAGAATGGCGTAAGCCCGGGAGGCGGAGCTTGCAGTGAGCTGAGATCCGGCCACTGCACTCCAGCCTGGGCTACAGAGCGAGGCTCCATCTCAAAAAAAAGAAAAAAAAACCCATTAATCAGGCATGGTGGCACACACCTATAGTCCTAGCTACTTGGGAGGCTGAGGTGGGAGGATCACTTGAGCCCAGGTGGTCCGGGCTGCAGGTATCCATGATCCACTACACACCAGCCTGGGTAACAAAGGGAGAGCCTGGTCTCACAAAAATTGTTTTAATTTAAAAAAATAAGTCGACCGGGTGGCTAGGCTCACGCTTGTAATCCCAGCACTTTGGGAGGCCAAGGTGGGTGGATCACTTGAGATGAGGAGTTCAAGACCAGCCTGGCCAACATGGTGAAACCCCGTCTCTACTAAAAATACAAAAATTAGCTGGGTGTGGTGGCGGGTGCGTGTAATCCCAGCTACTTGGGAGGCTGAGGCAGGAGAATTGCTTGAACCCGGGAGGCAGAGGTTGCAGTGAGCCGAGATCACGCCACTGCTCTCCAGCCTGGCTGGCAGAGTAAAAGAGAAGTTATCAGGGAAACTGCAGCACCCCAACAAAAACAGAACTTCTTTGACCTCAAAATGCCAACAAAAAAAGGCAGAAGCTGATTCTCACAGAGCTGGCTCAGATCACATGGCTGTTGCTAAATCAAACACCGAGGCTAGTGGGATAGAACGCTCTCATCAATGAGGCCTAGGTCCTGAGCCCACCCTGAGCAACAGGTAGTGGTCTCAAGAGGAGAAGACATCAATAATCAAATACCAAGAAGACGAAATGCAAGGACAATAACAGCCCACAATCATCTCTTTAATTTCTCCCTGAGAAGAACACTCCCTGTGGGGCTAGCAGAAATGAAGAGGCCACCACCCATCTGCTCTGTGCTTCCTAGTTTACAGAATACTTCTCAGGTTGTCCCATTTAATCCTCACAAGTAGCCCACAAGGCAAGTGGCATCACTTATTTATTTATTTATTTATTTATTTATTTATTTGATTTTTGAGAAAGAGTTTTGCTCTTGTCACACAGGCTGGAGTGCAATGGCACGATCTCAGCTCACTGCAACCTCCACCTTCCAGGTTCAAGTGATCCTCCTGCCTCAGCCTCCTGAGTAGCTGGGATTACAGGTGCCCGCCACCATGCCCAGATAATTTTTGTATTTTTAGTAGCGACAGGGTTTCACCATGTTGGCCAGGCTGGTCTCAAACTCCTGACGTCAGGTGATCCACCCACCTCAGCCTCCCAAAGTGCTGGGATTACAGATGTGAGCCACCGTGCCCGGCCACAAGTGGCATCACTTTATACAGATGAGGCAACCGAGACTTAGAGACATAAAGGGGCTTGGCTAAGTTGCAAAGCAGCTATGGAACCAACAGAGAGAGAGGCTGTGGAGCTGTGCAGAAAAAACAGGAAGGCATTAGCCCAGGGTAGTGTGTCCATAGTCCCCACTTGTCCATCACCACATCCTCCCTTCACCTCAGGGCTGCAGCTCCTCCACCTATGCCTCCTCCGGGCCCATATCCTGTGCCCCTCTCCCTTATCATTCTGATCCTGCCAGTTTCTACCACGCCTCTGTCCGACCTTTGCTCCGTGCTCCACGCTTGTTTTCCTCTGGACCTGGGAACCGCCGGCTTACTTTCACTCACTGCCTGCTCTTCGTAACACCTCACCATGTGTACGGGAAAGTGTGCCCGCTGCGTGGGGCTCTCCCTCATCACCCTCTCCCTGGTCTGCATCGTGGCCAATGCCCTCCTGCTGGTGCCTAATGGGGAGACCTCCTGGACCAACACCAACCAACTCAGCTTGCAAGTCTGGCTCATGGGCGGCTTCATCGGCGGAGGCCTGATGGTGAGAAGGCTGGCAGGGGAGCCCGGGCCAGGTGGCTGGGTACCACCTAAGGGGTTCTGAACAGGAGGGACAGGGAGAGAGGAATAAGGACGGGTCCTTGGGAGAGGATGACAGTGGCTTGGCGGGGTAGGAGCCCTCTGGAGTCAGTCCTAGAGGAGCCCCAGGGACCCAAGCTAAATATCTGAGAACAGAAAGGACGAGAGCCTCAGTGCTCTAAAGAGCTCCCCTACCGGGTAGGGAGCGTGTCCCACCTGTCTTCCCTGTCCCCACTGTTGAGCGATGCTGGGAAAACCTCACTACAATGGTCGAGGTAGAAGGAGCAGCTGATTGTCAGAGACGTCACCAGGGCAGGATGATAACAGGCATGAGGGTGGGGCGCAGCGAAGTTACTCAGAGCCAGGGACTGACGTCACGGATCAGTCACCCTCCCCTGCCTCCACGTCCCTTCACTCTCACCCCACATTTCTGGAAGCCCAATCTGTGCCAACTGCTGAGGGTAAACTCAGACCCTAGATCAGTATGGCAGGGAGGATGCCCCCAAGTCGTCTTCCGGGAGATGAGAATGTATTTGCCGGGGGTACGGGGTGGGGGTTTTTTTTGTTTGTTTTTGTTTTTAGACAGGGTCTCTATTGCCTGGGCTGGAGTGTGGTGGTGGGAACGTGGCTCACTGTAGCCCCAGCCTCCTGGACCCAAGCAGTCCTCCTACCTCAGCCTCCGAGTAGCTGGAACCACAGGTGGGCATCACCACACCCAGGTAACTTTTTTGAGATGGAGTCTCGCTCTGTCGCCCGGGCTGGAGTGCAGTGGTGCCACATCTCTGCTCACTGCAACCTCTGCCTCCTGGGTTTAAGCATTTCTCCTACCTCAGCCTCCTGAGTAGCTGGGATTACAGGCACGTGCCACCACACCCAGCTAATTTTTGCATTTTCAGTAGAGACGGGGTTTCGCCACGTCGGCCAGGCTGGTCTTGAACTCCTGACTTCAGGTGATCTGCCTGCCTCAGCCTCCCAAAGTGCTGGGATTACAGATGTGAGCCACTGCCCCTAGATTAAATTTTTTGTAGAGACGGAGTATCCCTATGTTGCCCAGACTGGTCTCAAACTCCTGGATTCAAGTGATCCTCCTGCCTCAGCCTCCCAAACTGCTAGAATTATAGATGTGAGCCACCACGCCTGGTCAAGACTAGGATCTGTCAGAAGTGGAGGAAAAGGAGACACAGATGTCCCGAATTTACTAACCCCCATCTTCCAACTCTCCACCCATTTAGGGAAACTTTGAGATGGTCAACCTAGTTTAATATCTTCGTGAGATAAAGACAAAAGATCTACCCAGCACAGTTCCCCACTTCTCAGGACAGCTGGCTAATGACGTTCTCCAGGGGAGAGCTCCCCTTCGTCCCTTTTGCTGGTCACACCTCTATTTGCTGAAAGAGGATACCTCTCCTTTAACCAACAATCCCCTCTTACTCTCTGGTATCTTTTCTTCTACTCCCTCCTCGTGCATGGATTCTTGGCTGCTATTCTCTACTCCATCGCTCTAAATTCAACTCTCTCTGAGAGTCACACTCCTCTCAGGCTGACACACTTAGCCAGTGTCACAGGGTGCTCCCTCTCCAACCTAAACCACTCTGTCTCCCCACACTCCTCTGCCCCATCTAACCAGCTTGCTTCAGCGGAGCTCCCTGAGGCTGCCCTCCCCAAATACGCATTCACAGCTACCTTCCTCCCACCTCTGTGCCCAGAGTCACTCTCAAGAAGCACCACCCGGCTGGGCGCAGTGGCTCACACCTGTAATCCCAGCACTTTGGGAGGCGGAGGCGGGCCAATCACCTGAGGTCAGGAGTTCAACACCAGTCTGGCCAACATGGTGAAACCCTGTCTCTACTAAAAATATATATACAAAAATTAGCCAGGCATTGTGGCAGGTGCCTGTAATCCCAGCAACTCGGGAGACTGAGGCAGGAGAATTGCCTGAACCCGGGAGGCAGAGGTTGCAGTAAGCCGAGATTGCGCCACTGCGCTCCAGCCTGGGCGACAGAGCAAGACTCCATCTCGTAAATAAATAAACAAATAAATAAGCACTGCTCTATACCACAGGGACACAGACAGGTTCCTGCTCTCCCTGAAGCTTGTGTTCCCTTTGGTGAGGCCACCAGTCTCACGGAAGCAAGGCTGGAAGTCCCACAAGGGCAAGCACTGCCTGCTTTGTTGGCTGCTACGTACCCAGTGCTAGACCAGCACCTTGCACTTAACAGACACCAAATTAATAGTCACGGAATGGTAGCATGTGCCTGTAGTCCTAGTTTGGGCCCAGAAATGAAAGGCTCCACTGCACTCCAGCCTGGGCAACAGAGCGAGATCCTGTCTCAAAAAAAATAAAAAATAAAAAAGTCATTGAATGAAGTATAGAACTAGGCAAGGCAATTTCAGATGGAAGTAGGTACCATCGGCCAGGTGCAGTGGCTCACGCCTGTAATCCCAGCACTTTGGGAGGCTGAGGCAGGTGGATCACGAGGTCAGGAGTTCACGGCCAGCCTGACCAACATAGAGAAACCCCATCTCTACTAAAAATGCAAAAATTAGCCAGGCATAGTGGTGCATGCCTGTAATCCCAGCTACTCGGGAGGCTGAGTTAGGAGAGTCGCTTGAACCTGGGAGGCGGAGGTTGCAGTGAACCAAGATTACACCATTGTACTCCAGCCTGGGCAACAAGAGTGAAACTCTGTCTCAAAAATAAAAAATAAAAATAAAATACAATGGTGCTGGCATGAAGAGCTCTGAGGCAAAGCAGATGCCACTTTCTATAGGATTTTCAGGGAAGGGCTCTATGAGGTGATGTCTGAACCGAGACCCAGATGACAAGAAGAAGGTGTGCGTGTTGCAGACACTGGGGGCTGGAAGTACAAAGCCTAAGGTGGGAACAAGTTCCACACTTCTGAGGATCAGTCAGTGGCCGGTGAGGTGAGGTGTAATGAGATGAGGTCGAGGAGGGGCAGAGGCGAGGCCTGGAACAGCCCGGAAAGCCACAGTGGAGTCCTTTGAATTTTTATTATAAGTACAACAGAAAACTATTGAAGGACTTTTTGCACTTTTTTTTTTTTCAAGTTTTAAAACTTTTTGTTTAAGTCATACAGACAAGTACCCAGATCCTTAGTACACAGCTCAACAAACTTTTACAGAGTGAGCACATCTGAGCCCAGGTCAAGAAACAGATCATTACCAGAAGCGCAGACATGCCTCTCGCCACACACGAAACCCCAGAATCACCTCACCAACAAGCGTAACCACTATTTTGTCTTCTAACCCCATAGACTAGTTTGGCTTAGTTTGCACTTTGCACAAATGGAATCATAGGGTATGTGTCTGGCTTCTTTTTTTTTTTTTATTTGAGACAGAGTTTTGCTCTTGTTGCCCAGGCTGGAGTGCAGTGGCGCTATCTCAGCTCACTGCAACCTCCGCCTCCCAGGTTCAAACGATTCTCATGCCTCAGCCTCCCAAGTAGCTGGGGTTACAGGCGCCCGCCACCACGCCTGCATAAGAACTACAGAAAACTGGCAGTATCTATTAGCACTGAATATTTGCATGTCTTAAGAATCAGCAGTTTTACTGCTACGTTTTTATCCAACAGAAACGCACACGTATTTGTACCTAAATACCTCTACAAGAATGTTTATAGCAGCATTATTTGCAAAACCACCAAACTGGGAACTATCCAAATGTCCTTCAACAGTAGAATGGGCTGGACACAGTGGCTCATGCCTGTAATCTCAGTAATTTGGGAGTCCGAGGTGGGCGGATCACCTGAGGTCAGGAGTTCAAAACCAGCCTGACCAACATGACGAAACCCCGTCTCTACTAAAAATACAAAAATTAGCCGGTCATGGTGGCAGGTGCCTGTAATCTCAGCTACTCAGGAGGCTGAGGCAGGAGAATCATGTGAACCCAGGAGGCGGAGCTTGCAGTGAGCTGAGATTGTGCCACTGTACTCCAGCCTGGGCAACAGAGCGAGACTCCCTCTCAAAAAAAACAAAAAAGAAAAAGAAAAGAAAGACCAAACTGAGGTCACAGAAGTCATCCAGGAGAGATGACAGTGGCTTGGACTAGGCCAGTGGCTATGGAAATAGAGAAATATGAGCCGATTTGGGCTTAAACACAGTGTTTTCTTCTTCATTTATGATGATGACCCTTTTCTTTTCACTAAGAAAGATGGCAAAGACTGAGACAGAGAAGCACATACTACAAAGGGAAGCAAACACTTTAATCAAAAGAGTAAAAATCTCAAATAGGGCCAGGTGTGGTGGCTCGTTCCTGTAAAATCCCAGCACTTTGGCAGGGGGAAGCAGGAGAATCGCTTGAGTCCCGGCATTCAAGACCAGCCTGGGCAACACAGTGAGACTCCATCTCAACAAAAATTTAAAAATTAGCTGGGTCTGGCCAGGCGCGGTGGCTCACGCCTGTAATCCCAGCCCTTTGGGAGGCCGAAGCAAGCTGATCACCTGAGGTCAGGAGTTTGAGACCAGCCTGACCAACATGGAGAAACCCTGTCTCTACTAAAAATACAAAGTTAGCAGGGTGTAGTGGCGCATGCCTGTAATCCCAGCTACTTGGGAGGCTGAGGCAGGAGAATCACCTGAATACGGGAGGCGGAGGTTGCAGCGAGCCGAGATCGTGCCATTGCACTCCAGCCTGGGCAACAAGAGCAAAACTTCGTCTCACAAAAAAAAAAAGAAAAGAAAAGAAAAGAAAAAATTAGCTGAGTATGGTGGTACAGCCTGTAATCCCAGCTACTCGAAGGCTAAAGTGGGAGGGTCACTTGAACCCAGGAGGTCGAGGCTTCATGAGCCGTGATCATGCCACTGTACTCCAGTCTGGGCAAAAATGTGAGACCCTCTCCCAAAAAAACAAAAACATAAACAAAAACCTCAGATAAGTAGATCATTCAAAATTGGTAAGTCCAAAAGGCAGTTCTAGGTGTGTTTGGATCCACAAGCCTCCGGTTAGTGACCTAACCAGGGAGGCTAAGCAAAGGTGTCAGCAGGGTCCTGGCCCTGCCATGAGATAGGAAGAGGAGAGAACGGGTGTTTCTCTGAGGTTGCTGGGGATGATCTAATAGAACTGAAACTCTCAGACCAAGGGCTAAATCTAGCAAAAGTGCTAGACCATTCATTCACTAGCACTCTTCCATACTCTACCATAATCCCAATTCACCAGACACTCCAACACCCTATCCCATCCTGCTGCTGAGGGAACTTATAACTATTGAGTTACTCTGAGCCAGTCTTTTTTTTTTTTTTTTGAGACAGAGTTTTACTCTTATTGCCCAGGTTGGAGTGCAATGGCACAATCTCAGCTCACCACAATCTCCACCTCCTGGGTTCAAGCAATTCTCCTGCCTCAGCCTCCCGAGTAGCTGGGATTACAGGCATGCACCACCATGCCCAGCTAATTTTGTATTTTTAGCAGAGACAGGCTTTCTTCATGTTGGTCAGGCTGGTCTCGAACTCCCGACCTCAGGTAATCCACCTGCCTCAGCCTCTCAACGTGCTGGGATTTCAGGCATGAACCACCGCGCCCGGCCTCTGAGCCAATCTTGACACCAAGTCAGTTTGTTCTCCCATTCAATCCTGAGAACAGACCTGTAAGGTAGATCTTCCAGACCTATCTTACACAGGGCAAAACTGAGACCTTGAGAGATGAATCAATTCATAGCATGTGAAGTGGTCTCCCTGACTGCCATTCAGTAGCGCACCTACTATGTGCCAAGATTGGGGAAAATAATGATATTGGGCCCTACCCTGCAGAGGCCACAATCTGGACAGAGATAAAGTAGGCACGCAAACAAGGATAAAGTAAGGTGAAGCCCAGCAGCGCTCCAGGAGAAGTAGAGATAAGGTCTTCTACAGTCCAAAGGGCTGAAGGCATCACAGGAAGCTTCCTGAAGGAGGTAGGCACTGATGCAAGTCAGGCCTGGAGGATCTGGGCAAACGCACTATAACAATGACTCTTGTCCCACAGGTACTGTGCCCGGGAATTGCAGCTGTTCGGGCAGGGGGCAAGGGCTGCTGTGGTGCTGGGTGCTGTGGAAATCGCTGCAGGGTAAGATCCAAATTAAGAAGGAATTCAGGGCTAGGGGTGGTGTCTCATGCCTGTAATCCCAACACTTTAGCAGGCTGAGGTGGGAGTATGGCTTGAGCCAGAAATTCTAGACCAGCCTAGGCAACAAGGCAAGACCCCTATCTCTACTAACAGTACAAAAATTAGCCGGGTGTGGTGGTGAGAACCTGCAATCTTGGCTACTCAGGAGGCTGAGGCCGGAGGGCCGCTTGAGCCCAGGAGGTCAAGGCTGTAGTAAGCAGTGATCTAAAAAAAAAAAAAAAGAAGAAGAAGAAGAAGAGAAAAGATGCAGAAATTAGCCAGGCGTGGTGGCAGGCACCTGTAATCCCAGCTACTCGGGAGGCCGAGGCAGGAAAATCACTTGAACCCGGGAGGCAGAGGTTGCGGTGGGCCGATATCACACCATTTTACTCCAGCCTGGGCAACAAGAGCGAAATTCTGTTTCAAAAAAAAGAAAGAAAGAAAGAAAGAAGATACAGAAATTAGCCAGGTGTGGTGGCGGGCGCCCGTAATCCCAGCTACTGGGGAGGCTGAGGCAGGAGAATAGCTTGAACAAGGGAGGTGGAGGTTGCAGTGAGCCAAGATCACACCACTGCACTCCAACCTGGGCAACAGAGTGAGACTCCATCTCAAAAAAAAAAAAAAAAAAAGAAAAGAAATCTGGACTCAGTTTCTGCACCTGTCCTAGCATAACCACAGCAGCACTCTCTGGAATTCCTAGCTACACAAGCTCCTCTGCAGACTCCCAGGCTCCACCCCACCCCTCCCTGGCACCCACAAATCTCAGATCTCAATGATCCTGAGGGGTAGGTGGGTGAGGGGGACAGGGGAGAACTACAACCCCAGTGAACCTCGGCGGCCGCTGGCTTTCGGGTTAGCCTAACTGCAAGCCCCAGGTTTGACGGGAAATGTATTTTAAACCTGACTCAAGGTTGGGCACAATGTCTCACACCTGTAATCCCAGCACTTTGGGAGTCCAAGGCAGGCAGATCGCCTGAGACCAGGAGTTCCAGACCAGCCTGGCCAACAGTGAAACCCCATCTCTACTAAAATATAAAAATTAGCTGGGCGTGGTGGCAGGTGCCTGTAATCCTAGCTACTTGGGAGACTGAAAGAACAAGAATGGCTTGAACTAGGGAGGCAGAAGCTGCAGTGAACCAAGATCGCGCCACTGCACTCCAGCCTGGGTGACAGATCAAGCCTCTGTCTAAAATAAATAAACGAATATAAAATAAAATAAAAAATACATTTGTTTTTAGAGATGGAGTTTCGCTCTTGCTGCCCAGGCTGGAATGCAATGGCACGATCTCGGCTCCCTGCAACCTCCACCTCCCAGGTTCAAGCGATTCTCCTGCCTTAGCCTCCGGCATGTGCTACCACGCCCGGTTAATTTTTGTATTTTGAGTAAAGACAGGGTTTCTCCGTGTTTGCCAGGCTGGTCTTGAACTCTCGACCTCAGGTGATCTGCCCGCCTCAGCCTCCCAAAGTGCTGGGATTACAGGCGTGAGCCACCGCGCCCGGCATTAAAAAATACATTTTAACAACCTGACTGGAGCAGATTTCAATAATGCGTGGGGGCTGGCGCGGAGCGTCGTCACCCACAGGTGAGGAGACTGGGCCTTACTGCCCCTTGCACACCACATCCAGATGCTGCGCTCGGTCTTCTCCTCGGCGTTCGGGGTGCTTGGTGCCATCTACTGCCTCTCGGTGTCTGGAGCCGGGCTCCGAAATGGACCCAGATGCTTAATGAACGGCAAGTGGGACTACCACTTCCAAGACACCGCGTAAGGTTTAGCCTGTATTCGTGTCCTGCATTCTCTGCCTCTTCCCTCCCGCCCTTCCCCGGTGGACTGGGACACCTGGGCGGGACTCGACCTTCGAGAGCACTCGCTCCACGTGGGTTACCTGGGCCTTTGCAAATCCCCTGGGACGTATTCTTGGAGGCGGGGGTGGCGCACGCGCACTCCGCCTTCTCCCATGTGATCTTACCCCTCCCACAGGGGCGCTTACTTGCTCAACGGCACTTTGTGGGATCGGTGCGAGGCGCCCCCTCGCGTGGTCCCCTGGAATGTGACGCTCTTCTCTCTGCTGGTGGCCGCCTCGTGCCTGGAGATAGTACTGTGTGGGATCCAGCTGGTGAACGCGACCATTGGTGTCTTCTGTGGCGATTGCAGGAAAAAACAGGTGAAATGGCTTGCGGTGGAGTTGTAGAGGGAACCTACCTGGTCCTGGCTGCGTTCTCACCTTCTCTTTTCCGCAGGACGCCACTCACTGAGGCTCCACTGACCGCCCGGTTACACCTGCTCCCTCCTGGATGCCTGCCTGGCTCTCTCACTCCCTGGCTCGCTAGAATAAACTGCTTTGAGCTCTCTTCCCTGTCTCAGACTGTGCCTTCTGTTAGAAGAAATGTACAAGAGGCTACAGATACACCTGGGCTTTGGGGCCCCTGCACCCCGCTTGTACTTCCTTAACAAATAGATACTGAGCTATTTGGTTGCGCTGAAATAACGATGGTAAACAAGGCAGACAAGTTTTGTTCTCTCAAAGAACTTGGCATTCCAAGGGTGGAAGATAGGCAATTTTTAAAAGAAGCAAAAAATTATTTCAATAGGTAATAAGCACTTTTTTTTTAGTCAGAGTCTTGCTGTCACTCAGGCTGGAAAGCAGTGGCATGGTCTTGGCTCACTGCATCCTCCACCTCCTGGGCTCAAGCAATCCTCCTGTCTCAGACTCCCGAGTAGCTGGGACCATAGACATATGCCACCATGCCTTGCTAATTTTTTTGTAGAGACCAGGTTTTGCAATGTTGTCTCGAACTCCTGAGCAAAAGTAATCCTCCCACTTCTGCCTCCCAAAGTATTGGGATTACAGGCATGAGCCACCGTGTGCAGCTAATAAGCACTTTTTAAAAGCATGTTGGTAATGGGATTGATATTAACTTATGAAGAGACTCTCTTTTATGATAGGGAAAATTTGAGAAAATGAAATTTGAGCTAAGATCAGGAGGGCTTGCTAACCATCTGGATATTTGGGGGATTATAGGCAGAGAGAAGAGCAAGGACAAATATCCTAAACAGGGATCAGTTTTGTAGGAGAAAATAATGACAACTATGGAAAAGACACTGTAATCTCTTAAACTCTAGAAAATGGCATTGTAAAGCCGTTGTGGCCTTGTCACCTCCTAATTTGGTAGAATTTTTTTTTTTTTTTTTTTTTTTTGAGACAAGGTCTCACTTTGTCACTCAGGCTGGAGTGCAGTGGCATGATCTCGGCTCATTGCAGCCTCAACATCCTGGACTAAAGCGATCCTCCTTCCTCTGCCTCCTGAGTAGCTGGGGCTACAGGTGCACACCACCATACCCCTGCTAATTTTTGTCCTTTTTGTAGAGAGGAGGTTTTGCCACGTTGCCCAGGCTGGTCTCCAATTCCTGAGTTTAAGCAGTCCACCAGCCTCAGCCTCCCAGAGTGCTGAGATTACAGCCATGAGCCACCACATCTGGCCATAATTTGGTAGATTTTTCTTAATCTTAGGTCACCGGTTCAGAAAGGAGACAACCTCAGCACCTAATGGAGGCAGGGTGTGCAGATACTCTCAGAAAGCCAGACTTCCTGGCCAGCACCATGTTGAAAGCCTGTAATCCCAACGCTTTGGGAGGCTGAAGCTGGTGGATCACTAGAGGTCAGGAGCTTGGGACCAGCCTGGCCAACATGGGGAAACCCCACCTCTACTAAAAATACAAAATGAGCTGGGCGTGGTGGTGGGTACCTATAGTCCCAGCTACTCAGGAGGCTGAGGCAGAAGAATCGCTTGAACCCTGGAGATGGAAATTGCAGTGAGCCAAGATCATACCACTGCACTCCAGCCTGAGCGACAGAGCGAGACTCCTAAAAAAACAAAAACAAAAACAAGCCAGACTTCCATTAGTTGTCTGAAATGTATGTGTTTAAGTGCGTTTTTCTCGAGTCCATAACTTTTGGCAATCTACCATGGACCCCTGAGACCAAACCCAAATGTATGCCTCCCCCAATGCCAGGTTAGGAGGGGAAAAGGAGACTCAGTTCCCCATCCCTTAAACAGGCGCGACCAGCCTGGTGCCGTGGTTCACGCCTGTAATCCCAGCACTTTGGGAAGCCGAGGCGGGTGGATCATGAGGTCAGGAGATCGAGACCATCCTGGCTAACACGGTGATATCCCGTCTCTACTAAAAATACAAAAAACAAACAAACAAACAAAAATAGCCAGGCGCTGTGGCGGGCGCCTGTAGTCCCAGCTACTCCAGAGGCTGAGGCAGGAATGGCATGAACCCGGGAGGCGGAGCTTGCAGTGAGCGCAGATCGCGCCACCGCACTCCAGCCTGGGCGACAGCGAAATGAAATGAAATGAAATGAAATAAACAAGCGAGACCAAAGTCAATTCGGAGAAGCTTTAATAGCAGGAAGTGCGACTAGCCTCCTGGCCCGGGAGAGAGCGGCGGCGGCGGCGGCCCCGTTCAATTGAGGCAGCAGAATAAGCGCACGTCGTTCAGCGCAGTGTCATCGCTGAAGCCTCTAGGTCCCTGGATCTTGGTCTGCAGGCCACACACGCCCTTGGGGCAAGGGTCACTCCAGTCTCCAAAGTCTCCCCAGCGCAGCCCAGGCCCCTGCAGTTCCTCGCCGTCCGAACAGCGGAAGCGCACGTTGTTCGCTGCTGTGTTGTCACCGAGGGTCGTGGGTGCCTCCACGCGAAGCGAGAAAGCCACTAGGTAGGCGCCGCCGCGACACCACAGCGGCTCGCTCCATTCGCCCCAGCTGCAAGGGAAAGGGAGATGCGTTGCCTCTGCCGGCGCCCCCATTCACCAAGCCCTTGAGACTTTCCAAGCCAAGTGCTGTGTCTGACCTGGTGGGCTGGGTGCTCCCTGACAGAAGGGGAGTCTTCCATCCATCCCTTGCCCCCTCCCCACCCCCGTCTATACTGCCCCGTAGCTCTGCAGGAGCCAGCCTGCCTGCAGCGACGGAGTATGTAATAGAGGGTAAGGGACATACCATCACCCCAAGGGATCCTAGACCCCTGTGCCCCACCTTCCAGACTGGGACTCCACCACTTGCGTGTTGCCTAGGACGCTCCCGCGCTCGCAGTGCAGCCTGATCCCATTCAGTGCAGTGTCATCGCCAAGAATGCCTTGGGGAGGCTCCACCTGGGTATGATGAGAAGAGCAAGGGCGAGTCACCGAATTATCATCCTTGGCTGGATGGTCCTACGCATCTCCATCCTCTCCAGGACCTAAGCCTGAGCCCCAACCTTGAGCGAGAACCCGCTGGCAAAGAATCCATCAGGACACATCTCAGGCGAGGCCCAGTCGCCCCAGGGACCCCCGTTGGTCACTTGGATGACCGCGGCGTAGTCGTTCCAGCCATCTGCCTGTGCACATGTGAAACACGTCGCCTGCAGAAGCAGCAGCGGCAGCAGCTTGGCTCCCCTCCCTGGCTCCATCCTGCAGCTGTGAATCAGGCCTCCTAAGCAGATTTATATCAGTTTGGCCCCTGTGAGGGCTCCGATTGCGGAAGGGCCTCCCAGATTAAGTGAAACCCAAAACTAAACCACTCCCGGAACCCTATTTCCTGCTGCCTGAGGCAGAGGCTCCCAGAGCAAGGGGAGGAGGGGCAGTGAGAGAGGGTGAATTGAAATAACCATCACCTATTGAACATTTACCACAGGCTACAAATTATGGTTAGTGCTTTGCAGTGTTTTATTTAACCCTCACAACAATTTTTAGGAGTTGAGAATTATCCTTCCTCTTTTGTAGAACAGGGAACTGGCTCAAAAATGGCAAGCATCTTGCCTTAGGTTTACAGCCAAGCAAGCTGGCAAACATTCCAGCAGGGAGAGCGGAGACAGAGTGGAGACCAGGGCCAGGGATGGAAGTGACCTCCCAGGAGTCCCACCAGGGACAGGATGGGTCAAGGGCAACCCAGAGACCTCCAGGATGTGAGGGGACGTCAAAGTGAGGATAAGACAAGAATCCTCGAACTGGAGAAGCTGAGAAATTTCCTGTCAGCTTAGAAGTCTCCTCCTCCTCTGACAGGTCTTCTGAGAGATCAGGGCCCTAACACCTTGAGAATCTGGGACACCCCTCCCCATCTTAAAAGAAGATACACACAAACAGAAATAATTTGTTTTTATTTTATTTTATTGAGTCAAAGTCTCTCTGTTGCCCAGACTGGAGTGCAGTGGCACGATCTCGGCTCACTGCAACCTCCACCTCCTGGGTTCAAGCGATTCTCCTGCCTCAGCCTCTCTAGTAGCTGGGACTACAGGCACGCACCATCACCCTGCCCCACTAATTTTTGTGTTTTTAGTAGAGACGGAGTTTCACCATGTTGGCCAGGATGGTCTCGATCTCTTGACCTCATGATCCGCCTGCCTTGGCTTCCCAAAGTGCTGGGAATTACAGGTGTGAGCCACCGTGCCCGGCCCAACAGGAATAATTCTAAGAAGTTTGGGGACAGGTGACTAAGAACCCCTAAGAAGAGATCATGCTGTTTCTTCCATTGCTTTCTGTATGTATCCTTATGTCCTTTCCCAGAATGCCTTTCCCCCTGTGACCACCAGGTGGACTCCTAATTTGCAAAACAAAAAGCAAGAAAACCTGACTAAGTATGTTTTTGGTGTGTTTGTTTGTTTTGAGACCAAGTCTCACTCTGTTGCCCAGGCTGCAGTGCAGTGATGCCACCTCGGCTCACTGCAACCTCTGCCTCCCGGGTTCAAGTGACTCTCTTCCCTCAACCTCCGGAGTAGCTGGGATTATAGGCACTCGCCCCCACGCCTAGCTAATTTGTATATTTTTAGCAGAGATGGGGTGTTGCCTTGTTAGCCAGGCTGACCTCAGGTGATCCGCCCACCTTGGCCTCCCAAAGTGCTAGGATTACAGGCGTGAGCCACCGTGCCCAGCCTAAAAATGCCTGGCTAAATTTGTTAGGGGGCCACAACCCCTGATTTACCTGCCCCTCATATACACTCCTTTGTTTATTCAGTATCTATTTATTTAGCAATAATATGTTTTGGCTTAAGCAATAGTCCAAGTGCTGTAAGCAAGAAAAACAAGGCCCCTGCCATCAGAGCTCACATTCCATCGCAGGAGACAGAGGATAAATTCTCCCCCAGTGGACCTTGAGCTCTGGGAAGGCACTTTTGTATTCTTGAAGCCCAGTACATGAGGAAGTACTTAACAAAGGTTGGTGCAATGAATGATTGAAGAGCCAATTTGGAGTTTTGAAAAGTAAACATCAAAAATGCAAAAGGATAAAGCCTGATGTGTATATACGATTTCGAGAGGTCACGTATCCAGTACTATTGTGAGAGGTCATGTATACAGGGCAAGACAAAGTCCCCTGGGGATAAGATAGACAATTTAGAAGTAGGTGTTCCCGGGTGGGAGCGGTGACTCACGCCTGTAATCCCAGCACTTCGGGAGGCCGAGGCGGAGGGATCACAAGGTCAGGGTTTTCACACCAGCCGGCCAGTATGGTGAAACCCCGTCTTTCTAAAAATACAAAAATTAGCCGGCACTCTCCAGCCTGGGTGACAGAGCGAGACTTTGTCTCAAAAAAAAAAAAAAAAAAGAGAGAGAGAGAGAGAGAGAAGTGGGTGTTCCCTGGATTCCAGAGGTGTGTGATGCTTGAACTTAATATTTATAGGGCAATTGTGGTCAGCTTTTCCTTTAGTGTTTTCATATACATTATCATTTAATTCACACATGAGGCTTGCGAAGTACCTATTATTATCCTCAATTTACAGTGGAGAGAACTCAAGACCAGAGTGAATTAGGGCCCACACCACTGCTCAGTAGGGGAGCTGTTCTGGCCTCTGCCTCTCTTCCCAGTACTCAGAGTGCCTCTTACTACAGCTGGCCCTACAGGGAAGGGAAAGACACTGATCTGTCACTGCTATCGAATCCCCCAAATTCCCTTCACCCGGTTCCTCGCACCCGGGGTAGCTGCCCTTTGGGGCGAAGGGCACAGGGGAAGGGGCCTTAGTAGGTTAATTATTAACCCTTTGCCCCTCAGGGCACCACGGGCTTCTCTCCCCTCCTGGAGGTGGAGGGACACTTACTGGCTAGGTAGGGGCTGGTAAGGGGGCGGTGGTCCCAGCAGCAGGCATGGGGGTGGCGGTGCGGCCCCCTGCCCTGCGGCACTGGTTCAGCCACTCAGTTCCTCTCGCTATCTTCGCGCTGCTGCTGCTTTATCTCAGTGCTCGGAGCCTAGGTGAGCTGCCCCTTCCCTCACCTGCTCCGGGAGGAACCCCGGAGTCCAGGCCCTCAGGACTCAAGCCCCTTCCTCTAGCCCTCACCGCTCCGCTTCTCCTGTCCCCAGGCGCCCGCTCGGGCTGCGGACCCGGGGCTCAGGCCTGCGTTCCATGGGCAACCGCGCCCTTCCAGGTGCGCTTGGCGCAGGGCTGGGCGCGGGAGCTCCAGGAGGGACCAGAACAGGGGGACGTGGAGCCAGGCTGAGGGTCCGGCGAAGGGCGGGTCCTCCCCCTGGTCTCCCCTCTTCCGTCGTAAGCTGAGCGCACAGCAGAAGAGCCACCAGCTAAACCTTCGGAACAATTTCTTCAGGGCGGAATCTGCTCCCACCTCTTCCCATCGTGTCTCCCCACCAGGTCCGGCAGGAGTCGGGACCCCTGGAGGCCCCGGAGAGGAAACAGCTTCTGTGTCTGGCCCCTCGGGGGACGCTGGGCCGTATGATGAGGCCGTTCCACGCCAGTGTGAAACCCGAAAGGGATGTGAGGCTGTCGCCGTACCTGGCGGGATGGAGGGCACTCGTCGAGTGAGTGGCCTCCCGCCCCCCAGCGGGTCCCCGCCTCCTTGGCGGCTACATCGCCATTCTCTCAAATCATCTCGCCCGCAGGTTCCTGACTTCCCTGGTTCAGTCTTCGCCTTCGCCACTAGGGAGGCCTTCACCAAGGTGACAGCCCTGGAGGCTCGGGTGCACGACCCGGACGCGGAGAACTACTCGTCGCTGGCGGCCATGGCGGCGTGGGAGCGGCGGGCGGGACTGCTGGAGCAGCCGGGGGCGGCCCCCCGGGACCAGGCCCGGAGCTCGGGCTCTTGCACGCTGCTCCTGCTGCACCGTGCGCTGCGCTGGTCCCAGCTCTGCCTCCACTGGGAGGCAACCGGCGCGCTGGGAGGCCCGGACGCGGGAGTGCAGTGCAGCGACGCCTACCGCGCGGCCCTGGGTTCGCATCACCCCGGCTGGTCTGTCAGGCCGCCCGCCTCGCCTTCCTCGCCTTCCCGGGTCGCCGCCGCCTGCTGGAGCTGGTGTGTCCTGGAACCACCCAGGCGGAGGCGCTGGCCGCGCTGGTCCGGGCCTCCGACACCCTGGAGGATGTCTACAACCGCACCCAGAGCCTGCTGGCCGAGCGCGGCCTGCTCCAGCTGACCTAGGACAGCGGCTGCGGGGACCGGCGGGAACGGAGCGGATCGCCCGGGGTAGGGCCGCGCAGCCCGGGGTCAGCCCCGCAGCCGGCGCCGCCTCCGTATCCCGCCTCTTCCATGACGTCGCGGCGGAGAGGGCTGCCCCGGCAGGGAACGGCGTTGAGCTCCCTCTGTCCGCAGTCTCGGAAAGACGGCAGGAGCTGTGAGGAATAAAAAGTATTTGGCAGCATCGATGTAGGGCGTTTTGTGTGATGACGACAGGCGCTTAAGGGAAATAAAAAACGAATGTGAGAAGATGTGTCATCTCTGTTCCCGGCAGCCGAGAGACCCACGCTTCCCCGGCCTATCGCAGTCACTCCCGTGGCTTTGGTTGCCAACCACACGCTGAGTCTCCAGCTCAGACTTCTCCCTGAGCTTCGCTCCTGTGCAGCCAAGTATACAGCAAGCATCCTGCACACTCCACAGACACTGCAAATGCAACACGTCCAACACTAGTCCCACCACCATCCCCCCAAGAACTGCACCTTCTCCTGTGTTCCCTGTCTCTGTGAACAAATGGCACCCTCACGCTTCAGCTACCCAAGCGCATGTGCGTCATGCCTCACACCAAGCAACTGCTCAGCGCCACACGGCCACTCCCGCAGTGAACATGAAAGACCCTGCCATTTCATACACTGATAACTCCCAAATCACCACTTCAATCCACTTTCTCCCGGACTCCAGAATCCTACATATACGATTGCCTATTAGGTATTTCCCTTAGGATGTCACTTAGTCATAGCAAACCTACCATGTCCAACACTAAGCTCCAATACGCCCTCCCCACGAAAATTCTCCCTCCATAGTCTTTGCTGGCTCAGTGAATGACACTTCCATTCTTCCAGGTCCTCACACCAAAAACCTCATCATACAGATCCTTCTGGGTATTTTTGTTTGTTTGTTTGTTTGTTTGTTTTTTGAGACGTCCACTGCATTGCAGCCTGCGCGATGGGAGCGAGACTCCTCCTCAAATAAATAAATAACAATCAACAGTCGGGCGCAGAGGCTCACGCCTGTAATCTCAGCACTTTGGGAGGCTGAGGTGAGTGGATCACCTGAGGTCAGCAGTTCAAGACCAGCCTGGCCAACATGGTGAAACCCTGTCTCTACTAAAAATACAAAAATGAGGCCGGGCACGGTGGCTCACGCCTGTAATCCCAGCACTTTGGGAGGCCGAGGGGCGGCGGATCACAAGGTCAGGAGATCAAGACCATCCTGGCTAACATGATGAAACCCCGTCTCTACTAATAATACAAAAAATTAGCCAGGCGTGCTGGTGGGCACCTGTAGTCCCAGCTACTTGGGAGGCTGCGGCAGGAGAATGGTGTGAATCCGGGAGACGGAGCTTGCAATGAGCAGAGATCTCGCCACTGCACTCCAGCCTGGGTGACAGAGCAAGACTCCATCGCAAAAAATATATATATATACAAAAATTAGCCGGGCACAGTGTCGTGTGCCTGTAATCCCAACACTTTGGGAGGAGAATCACTGGAAGCTGGGAGGCAGAGGCTGCAGTGAGCCATGATCGTGCCACTGCACTCCAGCCTGGGCAACAGAGCAAGACTCTGTCTCAAAAAACAAAAAATAAAACAAAAAAAAAAAAACACACAAAAAAAAACAAAAAACAAAAACAATCAACAAACTAGGAATAGAAGGGAACTTCCCCTGCCTAGGCATCTATGAAAAAGCAAGCTAACAGCACTGTCAATGATGAAAGACTTTTCCCTAAGTTTTTCCCCTAAAATGAGAAACAAGACAAAGATGTCTGCTTTTGCCAATCTATTCAACATTGTACTGAAGTAACTCGCCAGAGCAACTGGGCAAGATAATGAAATAAAAGGTATCCAGATTGGAAAGGAAGAGATAAAACTATCTCCATTTACAGATGATATGATTGTTTATATAGGAAAACCCCAAAGAATATAGACACAAACTATTAGAACTAATAAATGACCTGGCACAGTGGCTCATGCCTGTAATCCCAACACATTGGGAGGCTGAAGCGGGCAGATCACGAGGTCAGGAGATCGAGATCGGCCTGACCAACATGATGAAACTCCGTCTCTACTAAAAATACAAAAATTAGCCGGGCATGGTGGTGTGCACAGGAGAACTGCTTGAACCCAGGAGGCAGAGGTTGCAGTGAGCTGGGATTGCACCACTGCACTCTAGCCTGGGAAACAGAGTAAGACTCTGTCTCAAAAACGAAAAACAAAAAAGAACTAATAAATGGCTCAATGAAGTTGCAGGATACAATATCAAAATCAAAATCAGTTGTATTTCTATGTACTAGCAATGAACAATCCAAAAATGAAATTAAGAAGACAACATCACTTATAATAGCATCAAAAAGAATAAAATACTTGGGAACAAATTTAATCAAAGAAATGCAAGACCTACATATCGAAAACTATAAACACTGTTAAAAGAAAGTAAGGAAGACCTGAATAAATGAAGAAAAAAAAAAAAACATGTTATGAAAAGAAGACATTTTAAGATGGCAATACTCCACAAATTGATTCAGTACAATCCCTAACAAAATTCCAACAGCCTTTTCTGCAGAAATGGACAGCTAATCCTAAAATCCCAATGGAGATGCAAAGGATCCAGAAAAGGTAAAATAATCTTGAAAAGGAGGAAAAAGTTGGAGGATTCACATTTCCTGAATCTATAAATTACTACATTCAGAAACTGGATAATGGTTATAGTTGTGCCAGGCGCAATGGCTCATGCCTGTAATCCCAGCACTTTGGGAGCTGACGCGGGTGGATCATGAGGTCAGGAGTTTGAGACCAGCCTGGCCAACATGGCGAAACCCCATCTCTACTAAAAATATAAAAATTACCTAGGCGTGGTGGCAGGCGCCTGTAATCCCAGCTACTCGGGAGGCTGAAGCAGGAGAATTGCTTGAACCCGGGAGGTGGAGGCTGCAGTGAGCTGAGATCGTGCCACTGCACTCCAACCTGGGCGACAAGAGCAAGACTCTGTCTCAAAAAAATAAATAAACAAATGGTTATAGTTGTACAACATTGTGGATGTACTAAATAACACTGAATTGTACACTGTAAAATAATTTTGTTATGGGAATTTTACCTCAATTTTGAAAAAAGTACTACAGGTCGGGCACGGTGGCTCACACCTGTAATTCCCACACTTTGGGAGGCCAAGGCAGACAGATCACTAGGTGAGGAGTTCGAGACCAGCCTGGCCAATATGGTGAAACCCTGTCTCTACTAAAATTACAAAAATTAGCAAGGCGTGGCGGCAGGTGCCTGTAGTCCCAGCTACTTGGGAGGCTGAGGCAGAAGAATTGCTCGAACCTGTGAGGTGGAGGTTGCAGTAAGCCAAGATCACGCCACTGCTCTCCAGCCTGGGCAACAGAGCGAGACTCTGTCAAAAAAAAAAAAAAACAGACAGAAAGCAAGAAGGAGGGAAAGAAGGAAGGAAGGAAGGAAGGAAGGAAGGAAGGAAGGAAGGAAGGAAGGAAGGACTACAAAGCTACAGTAATCGAGACAATATGATACTGGCATAAGGACAGACATATAGATCAATGAAACAAAACTGAGAATCCAGAAATAAGTCCATATACGTATGGTCAATTGATTTTTAACAAGAGTGCCAGATCATTCAATGGGGAGATAGTCTTTTCAACAAATGGTGCCGAACAACTAACTAGCTATCCATATGCAAAAGAATGGATTTGGACTTCTACTTCACATCGCATACAAAAATTAACTCAAAATGGACCACAGACCTAAAAATGTAAGAGCTGGCACTATAAGCTTTCATGCTTCAAAGAACACCAATGAAGGACATGAAAAGACAATCCAATGGGAGAAAATATTTTCAAATCATGTATCTGGTAAGTTTCTAGTACCTAGAATATTAAAAAGGACTCTTACAACTCAACAATAGAAAAAAACAGCCAGGCGCAGTGGCTCAAGCTTGTAATCCCAGCACTTTGGGAGGCGGAGACGGGCGGATCACGAGGTCAGGAGATCGAGACCATCCTGGCTAACACGGTGAAACCCCATCTCTACTAAAAGATATAAAAAACTAGCCAGGTGAGGTGGCGGTCGCCTGTAGTCCCAGCGACTCGGGAGGCTGAGGCAGGAGAATGGCGTAAACCGGGGAGGCGGAGCTTGCAGTGAGCTGAGATCTGGCCACTGCACTCCAGCCTGGGCAACAGAGCCAGACTCCGTCTCAAAAAAAAAAAAAAAAAAAAAAAAAACAGCCAGGCACAGTGGCTCACGCCTGTAATCCTAGCACCTCGGGAGGCCGAGGCGGGAGGATCACGTGAGGTTAGGAGTTCAAGACCAGCCTGGCCAACATGGTCAAACCCCATCTCTTTACTAAAAATACAAAAATTAGCCGGGCGTGGTGGCGCATGCCTGTAATCCCAGCTACCTGGGAGGCTGAGGCAAGAGAATCGCTGGAACCCGGGAGGCAGAAGCTGCAGTGAGCCTAGATCATGCCAGTATAAAAAGACAAATAGAGCTGGGTTCAGTGGCACACACCTGTAGTCCCAGCTACTTGAGAGGCTGAGGCAGGAGGATCACTGGAGTCCAGAAGTTCAAGGTTGATATAGTACACCATGATCGTATCTGCACTGCAGCCTGGGACACACCGCAAGACAACCCCCCTCCCCGCCACACACACACCCTGCCATTGTCTCAAAAAAAAAAATTAAACTCCAAAAATTTATTAAACAAAAGACATATCCCAATTTTAGAATGTGCAAAGAACTTGAATCATTAAAAAAGACATACAAATGGCCAATTATCTCACGGAAATATGCTCAGCATCACTAATCATTAGAGAAATACCAATGAAATCCAAAAGAGACCAGGCGCGGTGGCTCACGCCTGTAATCCTAGCACTTTGGGAGGCCCAGACGGGCGGATCACGAGGTCAGGAGATCGAGACCATCCTGGCTAACACGGTGAAACCCCGTCTCTACTAAAAACACAAAAAATTAGCCGGGGGTCATGGCGGGCGCCTATAGTCCCAGCTACTCGGGAGGCTGAGGCAGGAGAATGGCATGAACCTGGGAGGTGGAGCTTGCAGTGAGCCAAGATTGCGCCACTGCACTTGAGCCTGGGCGACAGAGCGAGACTCTGTCTCAAAAAGAAAAAGAAAAAGAAAAAGAAAACCGCAAGGTACCACTTCACACCCACTAGAATGGCTGTAACTAAAATAATGCACAATAACAAGTGTTGGTGAGGATGTGGAGAAATTGGTACCCTCATACATGGCTTGTAGGGATGTAAAATGGTGCAGTTTCTGTGGAGAACAGTTTGTCGGTTGCTCAAAATGTTAAACATACAGCTATAGAACCCATAAATTCCTCTGCCAGCATATACTCCTAAGTATACAACTAAAAGAAAGGAAAACATGGTGTGGTCACTTTAACCCAAAGACTCTCAGGTTTATTTTGTGGGCCCTTTGGCCTGCAGCTCCCTAAAATTGGTAGGGCGCAAGCCACTAGGAGGGTTGTTTTGGTTTGGTTTGGTTTTTGTTTTTTTGTTTTTGTTTTTTTTTTTGAGACAGAGTCTTGCTCTGTCGCTCAGGCTGTAGTACAGTGGCGTGATCTTGGCTCACTGCAACCTCCACCTCCTGGGCTCAAGAGATTCTCCTGTCTCAGCCTCCCCAGTAGCTGGGATTACAGGCGCGCCCCACCACGCCCGGCTAATTTTTGTATGTTTTAGTAGAGACGGAGTTTAACCATGTTGGCCAGGCTGGTCTTGAACTCCTAACCTCATGATCCGCCCGCCTCGGCCTCCCAAAGTGCTGGGATTATAGGCGTGAGATACCCCGCCCGGCCAGGACGTTTTTTTTTTTTTCAGACTTTCTTGTGTTTGTTGCTTGCCACGCTGCCATCAAGTACTCACTGTCGCAAAAGAACCGTCCCTATGCAGTACTGTACTTTTCTTTTCCCTTCTGCCGTCAACCTCGTAGTAGCTTCGCTCCCAGAAGGCCTCAAAGCGCGACCAAAGAGCGTGACCGAGCGCTTTACGACAGTTGCTTTGAGGCAGTACCGGAGGAGAAATATGGCGGCCACCCTACTAGCTGCTCGGGGAGCCGGGCCGGCACCGGCTTGGGGGCCGGAGGCCTTCACCCCAGACTGGGAAAGCCGAGAAGTCTCCACTGGGGTGAGGAAGGACTCGGGGTTCATAGGATGTGCACAAGGCCTGACGCGATGGGAAGATAAAGTTTGAGTGGGGTTGAGAGATCTGGCAGGGGCGGAGGGGAGGTAAAATATGTTGTGCTCCAGGAATGGGGAGAGGCACTCCGAGGATGGTGGAGTGGTGCGGTAGCTTCGTAGTAGGAGGTGGAGGGTGGGCTGAAATGTGGAATTCTGGAATCCTGCGAGGCTAGTGAAGACCCTGGGCTTAAGTCCGGGATGAGTCTTTTGGGATTTGAGGGTTGGCATTCTGGTATTCTGCGGAGTACTGAGGCCCCTGGAAGATTTGAAAACGGTTCAGCGACGCACAGATTTTGTATTTTGGGAACTAGGTAGAGAGATCATTGAGGTTTGTGTATGCTGGAGAATGTGGACTCACTCCTTTTTCCCTTTTCCCAGACTACTATCATGGCCGTGCAATTTGACGGGGGCGTGGTTCTGGGGGCAGACTCCAGAACAACCACTGGGTGAGCTCAGGACAGATTTGTGAAAGGTCTTCCCATCTTCCTTTTCCTTTCCTGCCTGCCAGCCCACCCTAATCCTCCACAGACCACTGTGGGAAGAGAGGTTTCTTATCTCTCTGGAGATTAAGATTTGTCCCAGCTTTTATTAGTTTCAGATCCCCCCACTCTTTAGGGGAATCCTTACGAAAGTCTGTTCTCCAGTCTGCTTCAGTTTGGATGAGAATAAGCAATACTGGAGGCCAGGCACGGTGGCTCACGCCTGTATTCCTAGCACTTTGGGAGGCCGAGACGGGTGGATCACCTGAGGTCAGGAGTTCAAGACCAGCCTGGCCAACATGGCGAAACCCCGTCTCTACTAAAAAATACAAAAATTAGCCGGGCATGGCGGCGCATGCCTGCAGTCCCAGCTACTTGGGAGGCTAAGGCTAGAGAATTGCTTGGACCCAGGAGGCGGAGGCTGCAGTGAGCAGAGATCACGTCACTGCACTCTAGCCTGGGCAACAGAGCGAGACTCCATCTCAAAGAAAAAAAAAAAAAGGCAATACTGGACATCCTGTCCCTGAGCCCTAAGAGAGTAGGTAGTGATGGGATGGAGGTGGAAGACAGGTGGGCTCCTTTCCTCACTATTCTGCCATCCTGCAGGTCCTACATCGCCAATCGAGTGACTGACAAGCTGACTCCTATTCACGACCACATTTTCTGCTGTCGCTCAGGCTCAGCTGCTGATACCCAGGCAGTAGCTGATGCTGTCACTTACCAGCTCGGTTTCCACAGGTGCTTGTGGGCAGGGGAGGGGCAAGTATCTGAAGGGAGTTGGAAGCTGAGGAGCTAAATGGCCTGACTTCTAGGTCCTGAAACTTTCTCTGTGACTTCTCTGACCCTCTAGCATTGAACTGAATGAGCCTCCACTGGTCCACACAGCAGCCAGCCTCTTTAAGGAGATGTGTTACCGATACCGAGAAGACCTGATGGCGGGAATCATCATCGCAGGCTGGGACCCTCAAGAAGGAGGGCAGGTCAGATCCCCACCCCAGACCAGGGCACACTTGAGCCAGGCCTTTTATCTTCTCCCCAACCATTTTCTTTTTCTTTCCAGTCTCTACCTCACTTGTTCTTACTATTAACATTCCTCAGACCAATAGCAGAATGGACAGGTGAATGTACATGTGTTGGAGGGAGGATACGACTGGTAACTCTTCTCCTTCTATCTGGCAGGTGTACTCAGTGCCTATGGGGGGTATGATGGTAAGGCAGTCCTTTGCCATTGGAGGCTCTGGGAGCTCCTACATCTATGGCTATGTGGATGCTACCTACCGGGAAGGCATGACCAAGGAGGAGTGTCTGCAATTCACTGCCAATGGTGAGAGCTTAGGCTCCTGGGCCTGTGAGCTTCAACCCCAACTACCCAAGCCAGGCCAACATTCCTCATTCCTTGCAGTGATCCCAGCATCTGACTCTGAACCCAGCTTTCTCCTTTTATCCACAGCTCTCGCTTTGGCCATGGAGCGGGATGGCTCCAGTGGAGGAGTGATCCGCCTGGCAGCCATTGCAGAGTCAGGGGTAGAGCGGCAAGTACTTTTGGGAGACCAGATACCCAAATTCGCCATTGCCACTTTACCGCCCCCCTGAATCCTGGGATTCTAGTATGCAATAAGAGATACCCTGTACTGATGCAAAATTTAATAAAGTTTGTCACAGAGAATCTTTATACTTTGGGGTTCTTTTTTTTGACTTCAAGCTTGAATTTGTCTGGCCCATTCCTATTTTATAAACCATTGCACTGAACTCAGAGCGAGTTGGAGAGGAAATGAAAGGAGTTTGTGAATGCTTGATTCCCCAATAAGCTTTTACATGGATGGTTTTCAAACCTCTTCTCCAAACCACCTTCCCCCAAACTTTCTTTCCCCCACCATATCCAGGTCCTTGAACCACTGGATTGTGGTTGGTGTTGGGGCTACCAGCAACACCCGCTCCCTGTTCAACACCAAGGCGGAACTCGGAATTCTGACTAAAACTGGAGTCACCTTCCTCAGCCTGCTTCCCGCCAGTCACCATGGGTGACTAGTGCTCCTAAGTCCACAAAGAGCAGCTTCCTCCAGCCCAGCCTCATGGTCCCCTCTCTCCACACTTAACCTCTATCACCTCACCTCGTGATCAGCAGGAGCATTGTGACTTCCTTGGCTTTTGGGAGAAAGGTGGGCCTTGTTTGCAAATGGAATTTAAGATGACTGTTGAGTGGGAGAACACAGCCACCAGGAGTGCTTTTGGCCAGCTCTGGAAGCCACCATTCCCATGGTGGGGGGTGTGATCAGCCCCTTGGATGAGAGGCTGAAAATGGACTCTGGCCCCTCCGAAGCTGTCCCTATTCAAGCCAGGGACATAAAGGAGCTTGATAGCTGGGACTACAGGTATGTGCCACCTCACCTCAGGCCTAATTTTATTATGTATTTTTTAGAGACAGAGTCTCACTCTGTCACCCAGGCAGCAGTGTCACTGTCATAGCTCACTGTAACCTCAAACTCCTGGGCTTAAGTGATTCTCCTGCCTCAACCTATCAATGTGCTGGGATTACAGGCATGAGCCACTGTGCCTAGCCTTTTTTTTTTTGTGGGGGGACGGAGTTTTGCTCTGTTGCCCAGGCTGGAGTGCAGTGGCCTGGTCTCAGTTCACTGCAACCTCCGCCACCCGGTTTCCAGCGATTCTCCTGTCTCAGCCTCCCAAGTAGGTGGGATTACAGGCACGTGCCACCGTACCCAGCTAGTTTTTGTATTTTTAATAGAGACGGGGTTTCACCATATTGGCCAGGCTGGTCTGGAACTTCTGACCTTGTGATCTGCCTGCCTCGGCCTCCCAAAGTGCTGGGATTACAGGCGTGAGCCAGCACAGCTGGCCTTTTTTTTTTTTTTTTGAGACGGGGTTTCATTCTTACTGCCCAGACTGGAATGCAATGGTGTGATCTCAGCTCACCACAACCTGCACATCCCAGGTTCAAGCGATTCTCCTGTCTCAGCCTCCCGAGTAGCTGGGATTAGAGGCATGCACCACCATGCCCAGCTAATTTTGTATTTTTAGTAGAGATGGAGTTTCTCCACGTTGGTCAGGCTGGTCTCAAACTCCCGACCTCAGGTGATCCACCTGCCTCGGCCTCGCAATTTTTTTTTTTTTAAGATGGAGTCTGGCTCTGTCCCCCAGGCTGGAGTGCAGTGGTGCGATCTCGACTCACTACAACCTCTACCTCCTGGGTTCAAGCGATTCTCCTGCCTCAGCCTCCTGAGTAGCTGGGATTACAGGTGTGCGCCACCACGTCTGGCTAATTTTTTTGTATTTTTAATAGAGACGGGGTTCCACCATGTTGGCCAGGCTGGTCTCGTACTCCTGCCTAGGCCTCTCAAAGTGTTGGGATTATGGGCGTGAGCCACCGCACCCGGCCTAAAATTCATTTTTTAGAGCAGTTTTAGGTTCACAGCAAAATTGAGTAGAAAATACAGATATTTCCCATGTGCTCCTCTCCCCACGTGGGCAGCCTCCCTCACTGTCAACATTCTGCACCAGAGATGGCCATTTGTTGGAACTAGTAAACCTACGCTGACACATCGCTCCCCGATTTCCACGTGGCTACTCGTCATTCAGCTCTCAGCTCAAATGTCACGTCATCAGGAAGGCATTTCCCGACCACCTGAAACTGGAGAAACACCACCCCCCAGTCCCACTCTCACATGACCCTGTTTCACTTTCTTCACAGCAGCACATATCACTGTCTTGGGTTCACTTAGTTGTTTACCTGTGTATGATTGTCTCCGTCCCTCTACTAGAAAGTCAGCTCAGTGAGAAGAGAGAATTCTTTCTTCCTGGTTCATTGATATCTCCTCCATGCCTGGCAGGGGTAGATACTCGGCATTTACTGAATGAATATGCTTTCTCATCCCATCTGCCATCCTGCCCAGCCCCCAGCCACCCCAGACTGTCTTCAGCACACTCAACTCTGAAGCTTGATGTCAGCCAATTCTTACTTTCCCACTTGTCACACCTGGGCTCTGCATGAGATGAGCTGCCTCATATTCATCATTCCTGTGTGTCACTCCCACCATAGGCAACACTTCCCATCTCAGCCCCATAACCCAGCCCTGCAGCCTTGGCCCCACCTACTTCCCCTGCACACACACACACACAGCACTTAGCAACTACGAACATATTTAATGAGAAGGTTAGAAAGGACTTGGGGAGGTGGCCATTAGGATCGCTGAGAAGTCTGGGGAAGGAAGCTTGCTAAGCCTTCCTGGAGGTTCAGCTCCTTGTCCCCTTCAAATGGTGGAGTCATTGGCCGATGCTATGTCATGCAGCTGGTGGCGGAAGGAGAGTCGGGCTTTCCTGCTGAAGTAGGCACCAGGCCCTGGCGAGGGTACCCCTCCCTCAGCCATGATGGGGGCTATAGCTGGACTGGGATCTGGAGGGGCAGCAGGACTCAGGCCTAAAAGATGGGAGGGGGAAGAAGGAAGTTGTAGGTCAGGGTTCACCTCCTCCCTTGCTCCCCAACCCAGGGTTGAGGAGGGAAGAAGGGAAGACACCTGGGGCCTGGGGGCCGGTGAGGAGCGTGGGTGACAGCAGCAGGGAGAGGGAGAGGGACTGTTGCAGAGCAAGCAGAGCTGGCTCACATGCATGTGACCTGTGCAATTGCATAGGATCCCCAGACTCAAAAGGGCCACCGTGCTTGGCATAGGGTTCTGCTATCACCATCTTGAAATTCTTAAATTTTTTTTTTTTTTGAGACAGAGTCTCACTCTGTTGCCAGGCTGAAGTGCAGTGGCACTATCTCGGCTCACTGCAACCTCCGCCTCCTGGGTTCAAGCAATTCTCCTGCCTCAGCCTCCTGAGTAGCTGGACTACAGGCGCCCGCCACCACGCCCGGCTAATTTTTTGTATTTTTAGTAGAGATGGGGTTTCACCGTGTTAGCCAGGATGGTCTCCATCTCCTGACCTCGTGATCCGCCAACCTCGGGCTCCCAAAGTGCTGGGATTACAGGAGTGAGCCACCGCGCCCAGCCGAAATTCTTAAATTGTTAACGAGGGGCCCCTCTTAGGCATTTCGAACTGGGCCCCACAAAGTATTTAGCCAGTCCTGTGAGGACTTTGGTGACCCACCTCCCACCCAGGGAGACAAATGTGCCTTTTCCTTTTGGTGGTTTGAGCATTTCTCTCTCTCCCTGCGATGCAGTTATCTGTCTGACCGCCTGACAGCCCCGCTTTACCCTCAGTCTACCCCATACCTGCTCCTCTTTCAGTCCCCCGCTGTCTCCGGCACCCGCACCATGGGAAACACCATGCCCCCTTCAGACCCATCTCAACAGTGGAGGCGACTGGAGCGGGGAATGGCCAGGAGGGCTCCCGGGAGAGGGGTGTGGTTTCCGAGCCCCCCCACCACGGGCAAAACTACCACTTAGCTTCAGACCGCCTGGTGATTATAGGCGCCAGGGATGGAATGGGGAGAGGAGGGAGGAAGAAAGGGCTGGGGGTATACTCCCATTCAGACACCTATTTTTATGCCCCATTAATTTGGGGGTCCTTTCTGATCCCCATGGAGAAGCAGGAGGTGGCTGGGAGAGGTGGCACGGCAGGGACGGATGCAGAGGTGCCGTGACAGATACAGTAAAATTTCACTCTAGCGATGCCCGGCAACTGGGCACCAGGCTGGACGCTGCTGGGGATTCGTTTATATTTTAGAATGAGAATTGGAGTGCCCAAGATGTAGACTTTTAAAGAATACTCTATTTTTTTAGACTAAGAAACTTTATTATCCAGGGAATAGATTCTCGTTAATGGTCTGATAGTTCCTGTCCCCTGTTATGAAGATGGTTGTAATTGGTTAATGATGCTGTGTCAGGTAAATGCTAGGAACTTTTACATGTTATCTCATTTCACTTAATCATGTCAAAGATCTTTTTTTTTTTTTTGAGATGGAGTCTCACTCTGCCGCCCAGGCTGGAGTTGAGTGGCGCGATCTTGGCTCACTGTAACTCCGCCTCCTGGGTTGAAGCAATTCTCCTACCTCAGCCTCCGGAATAGCTGGGACTACAGGTGTGCGCCCCCATGCCTGGCTAATTTTTTTGTATTTTTAGTAGAGACGGGGTTTCAACATGTTAGCCAGGCTGGTCTCAAACTCCTGACCTCAGACAATCCGCCTGCCTCTCCCTCCCAAAGTGCTGGGATTACAGGCGTGAGCCACCACACCCAGCCTCAAAGATCTTTTGAGGTAAGTCCCTTGCTGGTAAGTCTATCCTGGTTTTACAGATGAGGAAAAGGGGGCACTGAGAGGCAAGGTAATTTGCCCAAGGTCACACAGGCAGTTAGTACAGAGTAGGAACCATGCCCACCTCACAACCCTCACCTTGAGTCAGTCTGACCCCAAAATCTACTCTTTCTTTTTTTTTCTTTTTGAGATGGAGTCTTGCTCTGTTGTCCAGGCTGGATTACAGTGGTGCAATCTTGTCTCACTGCAACCTCTGCCTCCAGGGCTCAAGCGATTCTCCTGCCTCAGCCTCCCAATTAGCTGGGATTACAGGCACCCGCCACCATCCCCAGTCATGTTTTGTATTTTTAGTAGAGATGGGCTTTCACCATGTTGTCTAGACTAGTTTCGGACTCCTGACCTCAAGTGATCCGCCTGCCTCAGCCTCCCAAAGTGCTGGGATTACAGGCATCAGCCACCACACC